TTAGAAAGAGACTCCAGGCCCCCTGGGCAGTTGGTGCGAACAAACCCAACGTGAATGAGCTGACTGGTAGACAAGGGTTTGAGCTTCCCTTGGGGTGAGCTGAGGAAGGACAGAGTTCCCATTCCCCGGCACATGGAGGTGCCGTGTGATGGACACCACTCCTGATCTCTGCCCTCCCTCGTCCCCCTGCAGTGCTGCCAATGTGAAGAAGTGGGAGATTGAGCTGCAGACCCTGCGGGAGAGCAATGCCCGGCTGACCACAGCCCTGCAGGAGTCGGCGGCCAGCGTAGAGCAATGGAAGAGACAGTTCTCCATCTGCCGAGATGAGAATGACCGGCTCCGCAGCAAGGTGGGACAGAGGGCCCGGCCAGCCGGAGTGGGCCCAGGAGATGAGCCGCTGAAGGCCTTTTCCTCTGTCCTCGTTAGCCTCCACCCCACAGGCAGGAGAAAGATGTTTTTGTCTCCTCCTTGAACAGCTATCTGTCTTTCTTAGTGGGATCAATGGTATCAATGATTGGGAAGCAAAACCCCCTCCCAAGGCCCCCCCCATAGTCCTCCAGGCTGGCCTTTTGCTGTAGGTGAGATTCCCTTAGCATCTCTGCGGCTTGGGCTTTCCAGTGGAGGAAAGGGAACCCAAGGATAAACTAGAAAATTGATCCAGGATGCTGAGGCATGTATTTCCACAGACACCCTGCTCCCATCCAAATCAATTTTTCTAAAAATGTAAATTTGGAAGCAAAAGGAAGAATGTACGTTTAGATAGGAGAACAGTGGATGTCAACTGTGCAGAGCTTTCTCTTGGCCTGTTTTGATGACTGAGGGTTTAAATTGTCCCCACAATTTCCCTGTAACCCACCCTCTGGTCACCTTCAGCTGTTCTGCAGCGCTGATATGGAAGTCTGGGATGCTCAGAGATGCCCCTGGAGAGGTTCTCAGGTTTCTGTTTAGACTGTAGTATGTATGAGCCCACAGGGCTTCAGAGAATGCTCTGTGAGTGCAGTTGGGGGGACCTGCCCCTTGACCCACATGCGTCCTTTGTCTTGGCTGGCCTGGACGTAGCCACCATGGCGGAGCCCGACTCCATCTCCTTCCTTGAGTGCTAATTACCACAGAGCTGCCTTGTGTCATTTTTATTTTCCATCCCTGTGATGAGCAGGCTGACAGTCAGGGCACCCGGCCAGTTGCTGACTTGGCGTGTTCCTTTCTGAGCCCTGGCTGATCTGCCGGCTGGAGGGGTCGATGGCTCCGCCTTTTCAAGCCAAGAGCTGATTTTCTCCCTCCGGTCTGAGCGTGATGGCCTAATGCAGCGCTGAGGTGTGGGGTCATGTCACCTGGAGCCCGGGAGGGCGTGGGCCTCCCTAGGAGGAGCTCTTTGAGTCCTTGATGTCCAGGCTGGAGGTAGAAGTTGGGATCATCAGTGTCGGTGGGGCTGAGGGTTTAGGTCCTGAGGCTTGGTGCGGCCACCACTAAGAAGAGGCCTTGTGTCTAAGACTGGCTTTGTCTGAGTGCAGCAATCAGTGTGGCTGCTTTGGACTGTGTATTGGCTCCACTCCCACTACCCTCTCTGCACGCACATTTTGGTTTCCAAGAAATGTTGAACAATTGATGAGAGCGTCAGTCTGTGAGGGCTCTGTACTCTGCCTGATTAGCCTTTTCCAGGGTCAGGCCCATGAAAAGAGGCAGTGCTAGAGTTGGCCAGTCGATCTCGAAGACAATACCCCCATACACTGCTCCCCAGCCAGGACCCTTCTGTGGGTATCAGTGGGTGGGGGTCATCTTGAGCTGCAGTGATTGAGATGTCTTTGATTTCCTGTCCAGTAGCTTTGTTAAATTCTACTCGGCCACCTTAAACCCTTGAGATGAAACTGAGTAATTCAGAACATGATTGAAATGATGTCAAAGCCATTCTTGGGGAAAACAGATCAATTCAGGGGACGTCTGGCCTGGGACAGATATGTAAAGCGATCCTGAACCTACTCCCACGTGGCCATAAAGAAACCCAGAAGCCCAGCACACAGGCTGGGTTTCATGCCTTCCTGGCCCTGCTGGCAAGCAGGGGTAGACGGCACAGGGGGGCTGCGTGGTGCCTGCTTGGGGAGAGCAGAGAAGTGGGGTCGTCCGTGGCTCGTTTGAAAAGGAGTCAGGGCAAGCTGGTGTTCAATGACTAAGCCTCACCCTCGCCCCGATTGTCCTTTAAGATCGAGCAGCTGGAAGAACAGTGCAGTGAGATAAACAGGGAGAAGGAGAAGAACACCCAGCTGAAGAGCAGGATTGAGGAGCTGGAGTCGGAGCTCCGAGAAAAGGAGACGGTGAGTGAAGAGCGCCGGGTGGGGCCCGCGGTGACCCTGGCCTTGCACGGTGACCTCTGTGACCTGCGGCCCTGGCCACTGCCGGGACTCCAGGACAGGGAATCAGGACTTGCACCATGGCTTGGCTTCTCCAGAACCAAAACCTCACACGGGCCCCTGCAGCATTGTATCTATGGCACTCTAGAGTGAACTGGGGGTGGCGACGTAGCTCAGAAGGTCGGGTGCTTGCCTAGCATTGAGGAAGCCTTGGGGTTTGATCCCCAGTACCAGGTAAACCCACCATGGTGGCATGCGCCTGTACTGCCAGAGCTCAGGTGTAGAGGCAGGAGGATCAGGAGTTCAAAGGCCATCTTCGCTGAGGCCAGCCTGGGATGCATAAGATGCTACCTGGGAAAAGAAAGAAAAAAAAAAAAAGGAGGCTTCCCAAAAGCCCTGGACGTCCTAAAGATCACCCACCAGCAGAAGAGGCGTCTGCAGTCAGGCTCATACAGCTAGTGTTTCCATTCTCACAGGCATTTCTGTTCCGGGAGGCACAACACCGGGACATGGGCAAGTTAACGAATCCTCCCTAGGCCTCAGTTTTCCCCCGCTACAAAACAGCAATTTACAGTTTGTCAGATTTCATGCTTTGATGCATCTAATACACCACACCCTTAGAGTCATCCGATGCTTCAGAATAACACTCCTCCATTGTTATTCATGTGAGCAAGACAGGTTCCGAGATCAGGACCCCCTAGTGCACACACAACTCAGCAGTATGTTTTTAATCTGGTGAGTGTGTGTGTGTGTGTGTGTGTGTGTGTGTGTGTGTGTGTGTGTGTGTGTCTGTTTAAAATTTTCTGTCTCCCCCAGGAGTTGAAAGATCTCCGGAAACAAAGTGAAATCATACCTCAGCTCATGTCCGAGTGTGAATATGTCTCTGAGAAATTAGAGGTAAGGGGATGTGAGTTGGTCCTGAGGTGATTGGCATGTCCCTAACTTCTCCACTCTCCCTCAGTTTTACATCTAGGGGGGTCAAGGGTGGGTTTTCACTCACAAAATGCTATGATTGGGTATCACACGCACCCCCCGGGGCTGCCTCAACAGTGTTGGGGTTTTGGTTTCCCCACATAACCAAGGGTCTTGAGCACAGAGAGTGGGTGACTGTCACCCGCAGAAAATCCCTGCAGAACCACAGCTGATTAGGAAGGGGGCAGATGGGTAGCTTGGATATACCGGGTCAGGTACAAGTTCACCTTGGCCGCTCCCCAGCTCGTGACTTCTTCACCGGCATCACCTTCCTGTCTGCAAAATGAGGGTTTTCTTCACCCCTGGTGTCTCCTCACTTCAGTCCCCTGGAGATACACAAGGGGCTTGAATTTCTTGAATTGCACAACCCCAGTTGCAACTGTATTGGTAACCAGTGTCTGGGCACATGTTCAAGAAAATCCTAGTTTAAGCCCACAGAATAAAGCTCTTCTACAGCACTGGAAGTCCTCCCTCACAAAGGACTGGTGTTACTGGAAGTCCTCCCTCACAAAGGACTGGTGTTAGCCAGGGGCCGAGGAGGGCCTTGTGGAGCCAAGTTCTGGCTTTGGTAGGATATAAATGACAGCGGTCTCTGCCGACCGCTCCGGGACTGGCTCCCAGATTTCAGAGCTTCTCTGTTGGCATCTTTGGGAAACCCCTTGAAGGGGAGTCTGCAGTCTGTGTTTCTGGGTGCTGCTGAGGGTGTTCAGGCCAGCTGTTGGCCGTCTACCCCTTTTAGTCCTCCTTCTGAAGAACCGTCAGGAAAGGAATGGCTCCACAAGATGGTCTCCTTTGTGACTTCAGGGCCCAGATGTTTTGAGTGTCGCCTCCATCCATCCCTGTCTTCCAGACCCTTCCTCTCTCTTTTGTCTTATCAGGCAGCAGAACGAGACAATCAAAACTTGGAAGACAAAGTGCGTTCTCTAAAGACAGACATCGAGGAGAGTAAATACCGACAGCGCCACCTGAAGGGGGAGTTGAAGAACTTCCTCGAGGTTCTGGATGGAAAGATCGACGACCTCCATGACTTCCGCCGAGGACTCTCCAAGCTAGGCACAGACAACTAGGCCAGGCGGAGCCTGGGTCCTGAGTCTCCAGTGTGTGTGTGAGATGAAGTAGGCATAGGATGTTCTCCATTTCTGTTGCTTCTGTAAATGCAGGTGCAGTCTGTCTGTCTCCAGACCAGTTGTGCCGTCCACCCACTCCTCCAGAACAGTAAATCTCTCGCGTCTCTGGCCTTGGGAGGTTGTGGACAACCGGAAGCTTCTGACTCAGGAATCCAGAACTTGGTCTACCTTAGCCGTTTACGCAGTCAGGGCAGGGATGTTTATATCTTTTTTTTTTTTTTTTTTAAGGGCTGTTGCAACCCTGTGAACTGAGGGGGGAGAGTATTTTCTAATCCAAGTATCAATATCCTCTATAACAGGCCACTGGGCGCCTTCTGTTGCGTAGCATTCAGGATGTGTGACTCTCCGCAGATTCCAGTCCATGAGCACATGGAGGGAGTGTCTTTTCTCGGTATGCATTTGGATGCTTTAGCAGATGTATCTAACCTTTTGATGTTGTGATACAGCATCATCATCCCCAAAGTTCACACTCAAGGACTGAAAAATTGGCTTACCCAAAAAGAAATAATTATCAAAAAAACAAACAAACAGACAAAAAAACAACTTACAATGTTTTAAGTAAATTTACTGTTTTGTGTTGGAGCACATTCACAGTTATCCTTGGCTGCATGTGGCCCTTGGGCTGTAGGCCAAGCCTACCTAGTTGAAAGGAACCATTTAGTGGAGAGACGTATCCAGAGGGAAGAAAACACAGAAGTTTTGGGGTACACCTACAGATAGGGGACCACTTGTACCCACTGTGCCCCATCTTCCCCTGATTTGTATGGTTGCGACAATGTTCCTTTCCTTGTTTTTTTGTTGGTTGGTTGGTTGGTTTATGTTTTGTTTTTATTTCAGAGCATATGCTTACGCTGTGGGAACAGATGCAGGAGGGTCCTTCACACAGTGCCGGGCACACAATAGGTGCTTAATAAACATTTGTTCAATTAAACATATAAACAGAATTTAGTGTTTTCCTCAAAGCCCACAGCAGAGTTGAGACCCCGGTTGAATCCGACATCATCTTTGTTGTGCTGAAGTGATCAGGAATGAGTGCAGTCTACTGCAGCAAACCCCAGACTTGGCTCTGAGGCAGGCTCAGTGGCAATGGAGGCATCACAGACTACTCTGAGACCCTCCTGCAGGGAGGCCAGCCCTAGAGGTCATCGCCTTTGGGACCACCTTCTCTTCTAGGCAGAGGACCCATAGTGTGAGGCTTCTAGGTTAGTGGGAGAGCCTGGTATAGGAGCTAACCTGGGCTTAGAAGCTCGCCTGGGTTCCTATAATGGGTTTGAACAATTGAGAAGATATCCCTACAGGCCATGAGGGTAAGAGAGCTGCCCAGGAGGCCGCCCTTGACCTTAGTGACAGAGCATCTCTGTTCTACCCAGGTCTGCCTTTCCTTTCTTAGTTCCTGCTAAGGAAGGACCTGGAGCCATGCAGCTCTCCTCTCAGAGACTTCTTAGTGTACCATTGGGCATTCAGGCCTGAGGTGTCCTTCCTTAGGGGAGATTGTCCATGGGAGACAAGGGGTTTTATGTCCGGACCCCCAACACTTCTGAATGCCTTGGGCAAGGGGAACTTTGGTATTCCCTGCCTCTCTAAGAACCCTCTAGACAGGACTTCACACAGAGTAGAAATTCTTCCTCTTGACTTTGCATGAATGAGAAAACAGCCTGAGGAAGGGGCTGGGGCCGGTATGTTCGTGACCAGGCCCTGTGGTGATTTCCAAGTCCTCATCTTTCCTTGCAGTAGCTGAGCAGTCACGCTGAGCAAGGGACTCAATTGGGATAGGAAAGGAAGGCAGGCTGGCGATATGGAATGCTGAGGTAGGTTAAGGGGAACCCGTCAAGTGAAGGTGTCTTGTGCAACCAGAGTGGTCACCTGTGGGGCAATTCAGCCCGGGCTGCTGCTGGCCCTGCCCTTCCCCACAACTCCCAATAGGCCTCAAGCCGGTTGTAGCTCTACTGGTACACTAGGAGAGCAAAGACTGGATTGGCTATGACCCAGCTTGGGGTGAGGAGGGCTCTTCCTAGGGCATCTTGGCCTCCCTGTCTGTCAGCAGCCTAGGCACATGGCTGCCCAAGAGCGCTGGACACTAGGATCCTGAGCTTAGGCTTCAGGTGAGCCTCTGTCTACGGTGACGTACTCATCTAGAAGGAGCTCTCTTGGCGGCTGGGGTGGGAGCTGGTGACATGGTGACGTATGACGATAGTTGCCAAAGCCCCTTCTTCGTCCTCATGGCAGTGACTTCCAAAAGTGACAAAAATGGGAATGTAGAAAGCTCTGGAAGTCATTACTGCAGAGGGCTGGCTGTAAGGTTGAGACCATGATCTCTACTGTTAGCCGCTGAGAAGTTTGGCAAGCTTCTTGTAGCCAGTAGGTGGGGGAAAACAGAGTCTTTGTGCTGTTAGACTCAGGCATCCCCCAGACCGCCACAACCCAGGAGCCTAAGAGCGAGCCTAGGGGCTCCCCTAAGGGTGATTTAGGCTCCACAGCGAACCCACAAAACTAAGTAACCGCTGACCTTCCCTTCCATCTGCTTTCTCTAAAGAGCTCACGTTTCTTCATTTGATGTCTTTTTAAGAACATCATGACCCAGGAATAGCCTGAATGGTCAACAGGAGACTGGCCCCGTCGACAGCCTCTGGCTCTGTACAGAGCAGATGACCCACTGAAACTGGTCAGTATCCACCCACACCGGTATGACACGCCTTCAGTGATTGTCTGGGACTGTTGTCGTGACCTCAGACCCTGTGCAGGTGGGTGTGAGCTCTCTCCTCCCAGCGGTTACCGCTGCAGTGAGCCGCCTGCAGAACCAGGTTTCACGTGAGCTCTCCTGGCCTGGGCAGCCCCACGACTGGCAGTCTGGGCCTTGATTAGCTTACTTTCTGCAGCCGTCCGCACGGGGCCTAAAAGAGGCCAGGGAAAACTCATAACCCTTTCACCATGATCCTTCTGTGTCTCTAACTTAGGGCTGGGCAGGGAGAGGACCTGTTTCTGGTGCCTAAGGAATGTGAAACCACTAGAGGGACAGAGTGGGAGAGCAAAACAGAGCCCAGGCTAGACCTCCAATCATCTTCAGTTATGTCTCCCCAGGAGCTGTCACTTTAGACCTTCACTGGGTGAGAGAACTTGGCAGAGATCATCAACAGGAAGTGGAGGCAGAGTGGCATGCCCAGGAGAACCCAGCTGTGACCAGCAGCATGGGCTCTCGGGTCTCCTGACTTTGATCCACTGTTCTCCTATGCACCTTTGATGTTCCTTAGATGCCAAGAAGAAATAAATACCCATCTGCCCTATTAAAAACACACCGTAGCTACGTTATTTCAGTGTGTGTCCACCGCAAAGGACAGCTGACAGAGGAGTGAGGCAGAATTGTGCTCCTGTTCACCATACGTAGTGAGGGTCGTTTTTGAATGATTCTGGTTTGTAGGAAGTCTTCAGTAACCTCTCTGCTCTGAGAGGCCAGTCCGGCAGAACATAGAGCGGCTTTAAGTTCTTTACTGATGGTTTTAATGGAAGCACACGCATCCTTTTCAAGAGGCAGAAGGCCTCTGACCTCAGAGACATAAACAGTGTTCTGGCCTAGAGGTGGCCAGTCCAGATGAGCCACAGCTGGAGAGGTGCTGACTTGCCCAGAGCAGTTTGCATGCTCGGAAGGCTGTCCCCAGGGGTGGCTGCCCTCCAGCTGCAGGCTCCACAGCCACAGCCTTCAGGGTGTGATGGGCAAGTGCACGCTCTGCATGTGATGTAAGACATCAAGTAAAGGGGGGCATATGATGCCGGTCACGTGCGGCCGCAAAGCATCATGATCCGCCCGTTTTTGCAGGGCCTCTTTTTCTACAGACAGGTCTCCTCTCCTGCAGACACCAGGGCCAACTTTGAATGAGACCCAACCTGAACCTCACATGTAGCCAGGTGCATGCTTGGAAATAAGGCAGCCTGATGTGAGCTCAAGGGAGGCTGCCCTTGAGGGAGCGCCAGCCACGGCTGTTTGCTAACAACTGGAAGTGAGTCACTGGAAGTGGCAATCCTTTGATTCAGGGGACCATCACTGGATTTTCTGAAGCCCTTGCAACATGAACCAGAAGCTTTCAAATCAACACCCATACAGATTATGATTTAAATAGACCATGACTTCTGAGTACATGGCTTCCCCAAAGAAATCGACTATATCCTGGGGACAGTGGGTGTGACGGCATGGAGACCGAGTCCTAAATAGAAGTGTGAATGACTTACATGTCTTTTCCTTACACCTTTCTAAAGATGATAAATCCCTCTTTAAAAGCAAACCTGGCAAGAAGGTGACTTTGGTAGGAATCCTGAGTTGTACGAAATGTGTGTGTGTGTGTGTGTGTGTGTGTGTGTGTGTGTGTGTGTGTGTGTGCCCATGCGTGTGTGCACACACTCTCTGGGGAAGGAAGCATGGGGGAAAGCCAGGGAAACCATTAGGAGAGTTCAGCTACAACTCCATAACCAGGAGGAGTCTTCAAGTATTCCTGGTGGTGATGCTGAATGTTCTGGAATCCGCTTACAAGACTTTGTGGGTCTTCTGTTTTTTGTGTGAAACTGTACGGTGCCCTACCCCCACCGTGTGGCCCTTGTTGCAGAGTGACCTCCAGGCCACAGGGACCTCTACACAGCGGAGGCCATGCTTGTGCACTTTGTCAGATTGGCGGGAGACTGATGCTTCACAGCTGTTGGGGTACATTGCTGTCTCTAACCCCCACTCCCCTGCCCGGTACCATTCTCGATTGGAAGGCCTGGCTTTCACTCCTTGTGCGGCGGTATCTCATGATAGGACAGCAGGAAGACGTCACTTACATCTTTGTAAGACCTTAATGCCATGTACGGATCGGCTAAGCAAATTATCTCTTGAGTACCATTTTTTTCTATCTAAATGCTTTTTTGGAATATAAGTAATAGATACTTTTTTTAAAAAAGAAAAAGAAACTAAAGATAAAAGGAACAAAAAAAATCACCTGTTGCTCCACCGTCTGATCATAACCACTGTTAACACATGTGACTCTTCAGCTTCTCCTCACAGCCGCTTCTGTTCCTTTCCCATGCCGTAGCATCTCATGCACACTCTTCTCACCACTCACCTTTCCTCTTTGGTACTCTATCGTGAATGTACTTCTCCATCAGGAAATATGTAACTACTACTTTTTTAACAGCTGCCTAGGTCAGACCTTGGATATTTAAGCTGCTTCCAATTTTCTACTCTTGTAGCCAGGACATGATAAGATTGTTCTGACATCTTTGTAAACTGTTCAGAATCTTGACTTAGAATAAATTACTAAAATTAGTCTTCCCTGATCTCCAGATCCTGGCTCCTTTCCTTCCTAGACACGAGAGACTCCACTCACCACCTCCGTTGTGGTCAGTGATTTGGGACCCTGTGAGTGATTCCAGTCAATGAGACATGAGCAGAAGTAACACGTGAAACTCTAACCAGGACTGGAGAGTGTCCCGTGCATGACTACAGTGTCTCTGATCCTTTGCCTTAGCAAGTGGTGACACCCCAGGGTAGAACGTTTCCCAGCCAGGGTCCTTGAGTGACTGTGTGGGACAGCTCCTTCCTCCCCACCCTACCCCGCCCCCAACCCAGAACGGAGGTGTGGCACCAGTAGAGATAAACCTTACGGGTTTTACCACTGAGGTTTCAGGGGTGGTGTTTTTACTGCAGCATAACATGGCCCTTTTTTTAACTAATAAGAAAAAAGGCATGCATGTTTTTAGGGGTTTACACATATTTCAAACTGCCTTTCAGAAACATGCCCCCCACCTGTACCCCCATGAGCAATGTGTGTGAGTGCCCTGCTCCCTCTGTGACACTGTCATCGGCACGAAAGCAGGAGCTAACAGAGTGACACGTTTTAGTAGAGTACGATCCTCGTTAGCAAACTATTTATTAGACTGTATGTTTTGTATCTTCTGCTCATCTCTGGCCAAATGAGGTCTTTGGTAGTCTCATTGATATATATATATCTTATAATGTATATATATTATATATATATTATATATATATATTTTATAGGGGTTTTGCCCGCATGTCTGTCTGTGCATCACTTGTGTGCCTGATGCCCAAGGAGGCCAGAAGAGGGCATCAGATCCCCTGGAACTGGACTAACAGAAGGTTGTGAGCAGCCATGTGGGTGCTGGGAGTCAAACCCAGGTCCTCTGAAAGAGCAGCTAGTGCACTTAACCACTGAGCCACCTATTCATTTTATTTTATTTTATTTTATTTTTTTTGAAACAAGGTCTCAACTATGTAACTGTGGCTAGCCGGGCACTCACTATATAGACCACACTAGCCTTAAATTTGTGTGTCCTTCTGCTGCAGCCTTCCAAGTGCTGGGATTACAGGCTTGCCCTACCACATACAGTCTCATTGATTTCAATGTTTTTCATAAATATTATGAAAATTACAGTTGTATTATGGCTCTTATAAAAATGCTTAAAAATTACAACAAAACCTTTTTAGTCAAATCTGTCTTTGCCTTTATAGTTAGTCCTCTGCTGTCATGACGGTGAAACTCTTCCAACTCTGATTCCAGTATGCTTTACTCATTAATATTATCCTTGCATAGTCATTGTTCCTTTTTCAGCTGTTGCATCTCTGATCTAGGCCAGGCACGGTGGCATGTTCCTGTAATCCCAGCACTTGGGAGGTGGAGGCAGGAGGACAGCCCCACAGCAAGTTTAAGAACCAGCTGGCTACAGAGACCCTGTCTCAAAATAACAGCCAGGTGTGTGGTGCACGCCTTTAACCCCAGCACTCAGGAGGCAGAGGCAGGTGGGACTCTGTGAGCTCGAAGCTAGCCTGGTCTACATAGGAAGTCTGAGGCCAGCCAGAGTTGCGCAGTGAGACTGTCTCCAAAACAAAATAAAACAACAAAATAAAAACTACCTTTCTATTCTACTCACAACTTGGTTCTAAGTTGCATCAACATTATTTTTTTGGGGGGAATGATCCTTTCTCTACTGATATTAAATTGCATTTTTGTTATGCACCCCACCCTTCTAGTGGGTGCGAACATGCCTAAGTTGCTCCTCTGTGTATTTTAGTGCTGGTACTAGAGTTTTGGTAATCCTAACTTTAGGTTTAAAATCCCCAGTAATGACATTTTCTGAATTTCCTAATCTATTTTATATACTAATATTTCCAAAAGAAATTCAGGGACCATTTTATAAATTTTAGAATCAGTGAAAATTGGATTATATAATATTTCTGTATTGCAAAAGAAGTAACATCTTGATAACTTCTCAATTCATTAGATTTATAATGCTCAGTTTTATGTCCTTGGTGTATTTTTTCCAATAAAGGTGATTTTTTCATTGTGGTTACTGTTGTAAATCTTTTCCAGCAGTTTGCATTACATAGGTGTAGCACCGCTTTGTTAATGGAAAATCTTCCCTTGGTTTTCTAACTGAGGACACTACATACAGTTTACATAAATTTAAACAAAATAAAAAATACTGTAGAAAATCAATGTCTCCTATAATCAAAATTCTCTCTGATCCAAGATACTCAACAATGATGTAAAACACACACACACACACACACACACACACACACACACACACGGGTTTTATCATTTTGGCAGTTTGATACAGCCTTTCCACTACTTGCATTCTTTCCTTGACAGACGATCTTGGCCACCAGGAAGCATTGATCTACCTCATTCTTATCTTGCACAGAAGAGTGTGTGTTGGCCAACGAGTCATCTCACTGTCTTCATGTTTCTTTTCATTCTAATACTTTTATTCTTAATTTCCTTTGCCTTCTTCATAGGTGATAGCTTTGATTAGTGATGATAATTTTACGTCCAAATTTGTCTATGAGTGTGCTGGTCTTGAACACGCTTCTCCATAGCTCTTTCCCTTGGTGAGGATATTTTTTTTGTGTGTCTTTGCAGAAGTACCCATGTGACTGTGTGTTGTGTTTTCTAGCCTTGCTCTTACATCTCTAGTTTGCTGGCAACTTTGCCAGCAAGGGCTCTTGGGTTTTAGGAAACAAATTTTAACTTCTGTCAAGCTGACCAAATGGTTTTTTCTCTCTCATGACTTACAATGAGTCATCATAGTAGGTTTGCTAATATTAGTAAAGCCCTCTTCCTGTTTCCACAAAAGCCTGATACAGTCACAGTATGTTAATCTTTTAATATATATCTCCTTTCAGAGTTAACAGTGGTTCCTCATGATCGGTTGGTCTGTGGTACATTCTTCCTTTGTCTTATTTGTGCTTTCAGAATTTTCTATAAAAGTTACCTGTTACTTGTGTAATAAAATTAAGAGCTTTACAATGAGAAAATACTCTTCTTGATTTGGTGGGTTCCTTTTATTTTAGAATTTCATCATATCTTATTAATAAGATGAGTGTGATTTCTCTGCTGTCTCTGTCAGGTGTTTTATGTGAAATTCCTTTAAAATATATCTTGGGACACTTTCTATACCTTTTTCTATGCCCTGGGATAGTTCAGTAATATTCAGAACTCCCTGTTCTTTGAAGTTTTTATAACAACTATAAACTGTCCAAGTCTAGTGCCTTTTAAAGAAATAATCTTTTGATATTTACAAATTTTCTTTCCGTGTTCATTGGCTCCCCAGAGTTTCTTCTCATTCTGTAAGATTTTTGACAAGTTAAATTTTCCAAAATGATAATTATCTTTGAGATTTTTTTTGGGACCTGTTGACATGAAGTTGTATTATTTTTCTCTTAGTGTTGTGTGTCTATGCTTTCCATTTTTATTCTGATTATTTTTCAGTAGTCAATTTTTATTCATCCTTTCCAAAAAACAGCTTTGGAATTTATATGTAAATTCCCAGTTTTATCGTTTTATGATTGTTGTTTTTTCTATTTTTTTTCCCTTGGTATTTTTCCACCTTTTCGAGTTAAAGGCCATCTTAACTTCCCGTTGGTGGAAGGCACAGTAATTCATGTTGCAGGACTGTGACCTTTCCTCTGAATATATCTGTATCCCATAAATGTTTATGTATGATATGATTGTTATAAATAATTTATCATTTCAGAGTGGAGTCTTTCACTGAGGAGTTATTTTAAATTATATTTAGATTTCCAGTCATTTTGTATTTGTTGCTGTTGCTTATAACATTTATTACAAACCTCTGTTGTCAAAGAGGATATGGTCAGTACAATTTGTGTGTTTTGGAGTTTATTAACATTTTGTTGAGACCTAATAAATTTTTAGTTTTAATAAGATCCCCAGGAAGTTGGAGAAAGTATATTCTTTGAAAGCAACAATATTTGATCTATGTGTATTAATTTCACCTTACTAAATGTACTATTATGGACTTTAATTTTTATTTACTTGATTTAATTAAAGACTAAGAAAGGCTCGTTCCCGTTATCACTGTCTGTCATTCCTGCTTGTGTGCTTCTGTTTGCCATAGAAAAAATGGCCCTTTTATATTTAAGGGAGAACCGTTTTCTTAAAGCTTATTCCCTTGGTTTTACCCAGCTGTTGCTATGGAATTGTTTATGTAGCAATACACAGCTCAGCAAAATCTTTGTGTGTGTTTTTAAGCTGACAAAAACCTCTTGGAAGCCCTTTGTGCCTTGAGGTATTTTGGAAATGTGTGATGTCCTCCAGCAGGCCAATGTCCTTCCAGAGCAGACCAAGGGTGCCAGTCTGGGTGGAGGCTCCCCAGCTTTTGGAACAGAATGGGGCTTCTTTTGAGCATGCAAACGTTTTCACTTCCTGTTTGGGGGCAGCCCTGTGCATAGGGACACATAGGGTTGGCTGCTGCGACGCTGGTTACATTTCGGCCACCATGGGCCACACCGTGGCTGCTCCCCCCTCCCGGCCCCTCCCCCCCGCCCCCGCCCCCATGATGCACTCTTCTTGTGCAAGGACTAGTTGTCTGATAGAGGCAGTAAGCATGGATGCCAGTTGCCTGGATACAGGGGGGAAAAAAAGCCAATCTCAGAGACTCATCCTACCAGAGCAGACCTTTCCAGAAGAATTTCAACAGGCTCTGCACACAGCAAAGTCTGTGCCTGGCACAGAACCACCTTTTCCCAAACGTGTAGGAGGTGTGAATCCCAGCCCTAGCTCAGGAATGGAAGAAATATGACCTGTTGTGTCTTCATTTAATTTCTATTTTAAGCCCTGTTGTACCGGGCTCATGTAATTCTGGGTTCTGTCTTTCTCTCAAGGTGAGTCTTTGATGGTTTGGGGAGGGCTTACATCTTCCCCGGGTGGGTTTTTTTTTTGGGGGGGGGCGGAGGGGTGTGTGGAAGCAGTCCAGCCCTTATCTGCTGAGATGTCCTCTGCCCAGCTCTCTCTCTCTCTCTCTCTCTCTCTCTCTCTCTCTCTCTCTCTCTGGCACATGGGAACATGGGACCTGCTCAGATGCCTTCCGCTGCAATCACAGTGCCTCTGTGCTCTGGCTCCCTGGGCCCCGTCTGAGCCATCTTCTGCCTGAGGCCAGCAGGCTTCAGGTTGTGGTGAGTTCATGGTAAACAACGGGGCTGTGCCATAAACCAGATGAGCATTTGCATGGGACATCAAATCACCGAGTAGCAAAAGGATTCCCCGCCCACTCCCAGCACAGGCTGCCTTTGCCGATGGCCACAGCTGCCGGCCTCTACGGTCCCTCTGACTCTTTCCTGGTCTGGTTTCACTGGGTCGCCAGTGCTTTATCCCAGGATGTTGCCCTTTGGTCCTTCCTCCTCAGACAGCCTGGAGGTGTCCCTCGGCAATTTTCAATGGCTGTTTGCACCAGCACACTGCCTTGAGTGTGTTCACGCTGCCACACCTCTCCCGTGTGTACAGGCCACCTGCGCTCCAAGGCTGGCCCTGCTGGCAGCATCGTGACCTTCCTTGCTCACACCTGTGCTCACTGCTGCTGTGATCACACCATCCCTGCTCTCTTGCTGGTCCCCTCACTCCAGGATCTCCTCCATTTCCTGCTTACTCTTACACAGAGTTGCCAGATTTTTTTTTTTTTTGCAAAACCCTGGAGTAGATCAGTTTCCAGATCCATCTCTTATTGGCTTGTCTACCCGAAAAGGTCATACTGAAGAGGTCTGGCTGCTGCATTTTCTTTATGTCCTTTATTCATGTTGTTCCCGAAACCTGGAATGTTCTCTTGTTCCAATTCCACTCCTCTTCTTAGGCCCAAGCTAAAGGTCCCATGAAATCCAACCACTCCTGGGGGCTTCTCATGCTCTGAGTGACTTACCATACATAACGGGGTTGTTCTGTTTGGACAGTTTTGTGTATCCCAGGCTGGTCTTGACCTCAGACTCTGTGGGTGGTATTAGCATTTTATTATTAATGCTCTGTTTTTTTAACTATTTTCGTGGATCTCACAGAGGACAACTTGTAGCACTTGAGAATCTTGAGAAGAAAAGAACAAACCCATGATAGTCCAAGTAAAGTAAGCTGTATTTGGGGGTGCAGCCAGGACTGGCCAGCCGGCTGTCTCACGCTAAATTGGGAGAGGGCTGCCCCTGCAGGCCTCTTGAAGTCCCTTTTATAGGAGGGAGAGAGAAACTGTTCACTGGGTGAGGGTCGGCTGTTACACCTTGTTGGAGAAATACAATGAAAGGGAAGGAACAAGGCTGAGGATCTACACCATGTGAATGGGGCTGCAATTCAGTATAGGTTAAAAAGCATGTTTTGCGCCGGGCGGTGGTGGCGCATGCCTTTAATCCCAGCATTCGGGAGGCAGAGGCAGGCGGATCTCTGTGAGTTCGAGGCCAGCCTGGGCTACCAAGTGAGTTCCAGGAAAGGCGCAAAGCTACACAGAGAAACCCTGTCTCAAAAAAGCATGTTTTGCAATTTACATCATATCTAACAAACAAGAACTCTTTTTTTTCTTTGTGGTTTATCAAGACAGGGTTTCTCTGTGTAACAGCTCTGGCTGTCCTGGAACTCGCTCCGTAGACCAGGCTGGTCTCAAACTCAGAGAGATCTGCCTGCCTCTGCCTCTCAAGTGTTGGGATTAAAGGCATGTGCCACCATCACCCAGCCAGGAACTTCTTAATTACAAATAGAAACCTTAGCTTGCAAGGATTTCACACGGGATGAGCAGGAACTTATTCTTAACTGTCTTAACTGCAGACAGAAACCTTAGCCTGCAAGGCATGTTGTTCCTGTTTCGGTCTCCTACATGTGGTCCCAGGGATTGAACTCAGGTTGCCAGGCTTGGTGGAATGTCTTTGAGCCATCTCACCTGATGCTCATACTCAGTGGGTATGTTTATGTGCATGCCTGTGTGAATTTCTGTGTGTTGTGTGCATACAGGTGACCATGGAAAGCAGAAGAGGGTGTCAGATGCCCTGGGGCCAGAGCTGAGCTGGTTGTGAGCCACCCAACTCAAGTGAAAGCCAAACCCATGCTGTCTGCACGAGCAAATGCTCTTCCTCACTGAGCCGTCCTGAGCCCCCAGATGTTAGTATTCCTAAGGATGGTCTCTGAGCAGCTGCTCTTCAGGTCTCAGCCTACTTTAGCTCTACTGAAACCTTGATTTTAGCCCGTAAGAGCCACGTCAGACTGCTGCCCAACAGAACCCAATGAGGGTTGTGTCTGGTGAGGCATGATGGCATGTGCCTGTCTGTAATCCCAGCACTTGGGAGGTAGAGGCAGACAATCAGTTCAACATCGTTCTCAGCTACGTAGTGAGTTCAAGGCCTGCCTGGGCTCTATGAGATTCCCAACTCTACCTAGTGTGTAGTTTTAAGCCGCTGTGTTGGTAGTGGTTTGCTAGGGCGGCAGCAGAAAACAGGCCAGTCACATGAACTGACACGATTCCACAGAATGTATGGTAATTAATCATTCTCGCTCTGCCGTGGGTTATTTCATTTCAGATGCAAATGAATATTCAAATGAACCAATCTATTTGACTGGTACACTCAGTCTGCTCTAGTAGAGTTCAGAGAATGCTGCCAGTGTGTATGGCCACCCCAGGACCAGCTCCATCCGCAGTCCAACCAGCTGGGTATACACACTGCCCACTGACTATCCATTGATTTATCTCTGAGGCTGGGTCTTCAGTAGCCAAGGCTTGCCTGAGCTTAGGAGTAGCCAGGGATGAGGTTAACTCCAGACCCTCCTGCTGATACTTCCCACCTGCTAGGATCACAGGTGTGCACCGCTAAGCCTAGCTGTGTGCCATGCTAGGAATTTAAGTCAGAGCTTCATGCACACTAGGCAGGTGCTTTACCAACTAAGCTACCTCCCCAGCCCATGGGTTTACTGTGGAGGACCAGCCCCCACACTTATTTACCCCAGGAACTCTTGAGGAAGGAGGGATAGAGACTTAGTTAGAAATAGACAGGAGAGAGAAACAGAAAACACAGGATAGACTCGGGTGGGCCTGGATCCTCATCCACTGGCCCAGAACTTTATTCCAAAGGTCTCCTTATAACAATGCCAAGGGGTGGAGCAAAAGACCTCCCCCTTGCTAGTTACAGTCAAGTGTAGACCCTTACAAACACCTGGTACTCAGGCCTGTGTCCTATCAACCTCTCCATGCAGACCTGCGGGGTACAGCCCCTAGGAAACCTAGTGGGCCCCAACAGTTTACCCTGTAGTAAACTGTAGTAGTGCTGTGGGTGAGGGGGGTCACACAACACTGATGTCCAGAAGGCAGCTTAGTGGCCATGTGAGCGAAGGGGGCAGGGAAGATCCTAGAAAGTAGACAGCTATGGAATTGGGACAGAACATGTCTGAATTTGCCTAGATGCCGTGTGTGTGTGTGTGTGTGTGTGTGTGTGTGTGTGTGTGTGTGTGTGTGCAATTCCAGTCATTTAAGCTTCAGAGCCACACTATGGGCCAGAGAGGCAAGCACTATGAGGACATAAGATCAAAACCCGCAGTAGGAAAGGGAGCTGCTCGGGGGACCGCAGTCAGTCCTCTGAGAATTTGTCTACCAGGTGCAGGGCTGGCCTTCACCCCATGTGGGTTGGAAAGCCAGGGAGATAGTTCCAGAGGCACAAATCGATGGGCAGTGCTCAGGAGGGCACACTGGGAGGTTTGGAGTCAAGACTACAGAGGGCACACTGTTCCCCTCCACGGTCCTGAGTCCCGGAAGTCAGAGTACGCGTTTACCTCAGGGCTGAGCGGAAAGGAGGAAAGGTAAGGGGAGAAACAAGACAGAGAAATGAGCAAGAGAAAGTTCTAGAGAAGTTTTACAATACTAAAGACACAATTGGATCAGGAACTTTGGAAGAACTCACCTTTGAAAAGAGTCACTTTTTTGAAGGCATCTCAAAACCATTGACAAAAGCAAACTTTTGACAAACTCTTGTCATCCAAACCTGATGAAGCTTCCCAGGCCCTTACAACACTGAGATTGTGGTACAGAATGAAAACACAGAACCAACTGAAAGTCCTACAAAGTTGTGATGCTGCCAGCTTCTCAAATTCCAAATTCATTCCAGAGGCCCAGTTTTCTGCCTGAGGCAAAGCCACATGCCCCACCACAGACACCCCTGAACCTGTGAGGGAGCAGGTAAGAGCCAGTGTGAGCCGGGACACGCCAGATGTCAAAGCCAGGCTGGCAAAGAAGCGCCTTCAGCAGTGTTAGCCCTGAGGATGTGACAGGTGGCAGAGCCATGGGTAGCCTGGCAGTGCCCACACAGAGATCTCCAGCCAGGCGACAGAGGCAGGTCCAAGTACAGCTGCTGAAAGGCTTGGATGCCTCCCAGCCACGCTAGGTCGGTACAGACCAGATGGAGTGCAGAAAAACTGAAGGTGGGAACAAGACATGTGGTTTCATTTTGTTTGGTAGAAATTCAGGACTGATGTCCCGAGAGTTGGGATAATGAGGTTAAGGGACACCCAGGCAGTCTGAACAGTGACTAGGCTGCTTTGTATTGGTCCCTTCCCAACTCCTGACCAGTTCCTGGGGCGAGCAATGCTGTTCCTGTGCCCTTAGCACTTGCTCAACTAAATTCTGAGCTGAAATCTTGGAAAATTTTCAGCCCACCCAAGCAGAACTTTGCTTTCATAGTGGGCCAGAGAACACTTCCTCGTGACACAGATGTATTATAATAGTGTTTATTATGAGTTTCTGTAGTGCTGGTACACAAAATAAATTTTATTTAAATATTTAAAGTAATTCTGGAATATAGGCAATTTATTCTGATTATTGCTAAAATCATGTTCACATTTGAGCCTTTAGTCGTGGAAGCAGTGTTCACACACATGGCAGCACACTGTTTAATGTACACCACAGGGCTGCACCTCCAGGTCAGACAGTGCCTCGAGAGTAGACACAGTACTGTTCCCATGGCCAGCCTACCCACCTGTGGCTTGTGACAGTCACCACGCCTCCACCGTTCTCCACCGTTCACCACGTGTTAAGGCCACATCAAAGCAGTAGTCCCGGAGAAGCCTTGCTGGTCTAGGGTTTATGGGCCTGTCTGCCTTTGTCACCTGGAGACCCTAGCGGTCCCACTCGCCAGGACTCTGCTCGTCACTGTCCTCTGAGTCAGCAGACACTCTCTTAATTCTTTCCAGGGCTGCCCTGATGCTCCTCTCCAGGTCGCTGGTTCGCTTCTTGCTGGGCTCTACAGTTGCATCTGGGTGGACTTTCTTCAGCTGCACCCCCTGCCTGATGGCAGCCAGAACCTGTTCAGTGACTGAGGTGCGGGGAGGGGGCAGGGTAGGTGCTTCGACTTTCCGGAGAGAGGCCCTGCCCTGCCGGAGAGAGGCCAGCACTTCATCCATAGAGCCTGAAATTGAACAGACAGCACGAATGAGGAGGAAGCATGCCATGTGTTACGTTTCCAGAACACATACCAGTTCATGCCATGACTTAAAGACCCACGGTGCAGCGATCGGCTGTCAGAGCAGAACCAAGATCCTTGTTACAATCAGGACAACCTGGCAGCTGATGTTTTCTCCTGACTGCTTACCACCCACTCCTTCAGCTCCACTGAACTTCAGGCCACAGCCACACCCATCTTTTGTTGAAACACCTGAGACACCCTAGGTGTTAAGGATGCCAGCAGTAGAACAATGTGATCACCAGGTGAGACTTAGCTTCCTCTGAGTTGTATCACCTCCATTTCCTTTCCCATTAAAAACATCTTGAACATGCGCTCTGCGTTCCTCTACTTCAGTCTTGGCGATGAGTCAGACACTCACCCTGACAACAGGCACTCAGTGGTCCCCACACACAAAGGCTCAGAGTGATAAACTTATCGCCGCTCAGTGAGCCCACGGGGAGGCACTGGCGCATTTCCTGTACAGCGAGCGGTGTTTAATTCCACCCACCTTACCTGAGGGGGCTAAGGGCTCGATTTTTGAGAGTATGAAATGCTGTCAAAACACAAATTAGCTCAGAGTTCCAAGACACTAGTGAGAAGCTATTTTCTAAAACTCTGGCACTCTGAGAGGTAAAACCTTTCTTTCCTTGCTTGCCAGACACAGGGCATGAATACAGGCACTAACTTAGACATCAGCCAGGTAAGCCTTCAGGGTTAACAGTCATTTCTAGTTGGGGACTGAAGAGCTGGGCTATGGCTAACTAGCCTGTTCCATTCTGGACTCAAGCCCTCACCTTGTAATTCTGGATTACACCCCCTTTGAGAACGGATTGGGCAAGTTGGACAATCAAGGGTTCACACCTTACCCTCCAGTGCTGCACAGCATTCGTGGGTTGAGCAGAGCCCCTGCCCCCCCTCCCCACATTCAGCCTAAGCTGAGAACACCCACCCCCAAACACTAATCTAGGCAGACAGGCCGCCTGCCACCTGACCCTGCGGACACTCTCCCTCACACCCTGTTCTGGGTAGTGGAGAGCCAAACTCACCGCAAGCAGAGTGCTCAGTTAACCAAACCCAGCAGGTGTGTTCCATGGGCCTCATGCTCACTCCCATCCTGGTAATTGTATGTTTTAGGTGGAGCAACACACTCAGCCAGAGCACAATATTACCAGGCTTTATCTAAGACAACCCTCCCCAAGTAGGCTCTGAGTCTTGGCAGGTTTAGTCCAGTGTCCCCAAAAGCCAAAGTCTAGAGCCATAATTAGAATTATGCATGAGAACTGTGGCCCTCACTAAACAAATACTTGAGTGTATTCAGTATGAAGACAAAAGGTGGCCCAATTTTCCAGCATTCTCCATTAAATTCAACACTTCAGAGATGTAACACCATTTAAAGCTGTATTGAGAAACACTAGCCAAACTCAGATCCCTGCTGAAGTCCGGGACAGCCTGAAGAGGACTCTTGAACAGCCTTAGGAGTGTGGCACTGTGTGATCAGCAAATGCAGAGATGTGTCTGCAGGCTGATGTAGCATGTCAAATTCAATCTCGCCTAGACTAACCACAATAAGAGTACTAACAAAGCAACAAAGGGTGGGCTATTTGGAGACTGGAGAATTTTGAAGATGACTCTAAATTAAACTACTGAGACTTCTTCACAGCTTAAGAACGCACAGGGAGGGAGAGCAGAACCGCAGGGCTTACCTGGACACTGGAAGTCTGCCAGACGAACACATGGTCTTTCAGCAGATGCCTCACACACTAGAGAGAGTGGCTGGTCCTCTGGTGCTGAAGCCCTGAGTCCTAAATTCTGATGAGTAGTAGCTTGAGAAGAGGACAGAGCTGGGAGAGGAAGTGGTGGGGGTGGAGGAGGGGGTGGTGGGGGAGGAGGGGGTGGTGGCTGTGGTGGTAGTGACAGATCCTCACTGAATCGGGAGGGTGTCTGGTCACCAGCTGGAACAAAAATCTGGACAGGAATACCGCCAGAGGAGTCTTGAGGCTCAGGGGTTTTCATATTAGCTTCAGGTAAAGGAGTAACACTTCCGGTTTTGCTAGAGGCAGGGTGAGCTATCTTGTGACGAGCTGCCGAGGACCTCCTGGGAGAGCGTCCACCTGAGAGGTTTGGCACCGTGGTTTCTGAGCAAGTTGTTCTCAGTGCAGACGGAGGAGCTAGACGCTTCTGAGGGTGAGAAACTAGTGAGAGATTGGCCACAGTGGAGCCATCAAAACGGTGCAGCTTCGCAAACAGACCCATAAACCAACACCGCCTGTGCACGGGCGTCCCAACCCATGAGAACTGCGGCCACCAACACAGCCATGCCACCGAGCTGTTTTCACAAGTTCAAGGAGCATCGCAGGCATGGCCGCACCCTGGGCCAGAGTGAAGCCCTAGCTTTTTCAAAACAAAAAACAAAGACAAAACAAAAACAAAAATAAACAAAACCAAAAAACCCACAATTATATTGTTTGAGCAAGAGACCATATAATAATTTCTCTATAATAAAATGAAGATGGCCAGGTGGTGGTGGCGGCGGCGGCGGCGGCGCACGCCTTTAATCCCAGCACCTGGGAGGCAGAGCCAGGCGGATCTCTGTGAGTTCAAGGCCAGCCTGGGCTACAGAGCGAGCTCCAGGACAAGCACCAAAACTAGACAGAGAAACCCTGTCTCGAAAACAAACAAACAAATAAATAAAATGAAGATGAAAAAGATGCATATAGATGAAAATAATGAGTATAGATGAAAATATTCATAATAATCTTTTAGAGGGGGGGGAATAAAAACCTTCATTTCAGCAGAGCACTTGGGTTGTAGATACGTGCCAGTGCTTCCTCGACAGTGATAGGTTAGAGACGCATTGCGAAGGAAAAGGAAGCTGGGGAGACCACTCAGGTAAAGTACTTGTGCAAACAAGAGAACCTGGGTCCAACCCCGAGCCCACACTAAAAGCTGGTGGGGGGAAGGTGCCTGTAATCCCGGAGCTGAGGGGACCTGTGCAGCTCCCTGGAGCTTGCTGGCCAGCCAGCACGGCCAGCTTGGTGAGTGTCAAAAACCAAGGTGGGCCAGGGTGGTGGTGGTGGTGGTGGCAGTGGTGGCACACACCTTTAATCCCAGCACTCGGGAGGCAGAGGCAGGCAGATCTCTGTGAGTTCGAGGCCAGCCGGGTCTACAAAGAGAGTTCCAGGAAAGGTTCCAAAGCTACACAGAGAAATCCTGTCTCGAAAAAACCAAACCAAAACAACAACAACAACAAAAACAAAAACAAACAAACAAACAAACAAACAAGGTGGACAGCTCCTGAAGGACACCAGAGGTTGTCCTCTGTCCTCCACAGGCATGTGTGTGCTTACATGTGTGTGCTTACATGCACACACTAAAAACAGAAATGAAGAGCAGTCAGCTAACACTCGAGGCAGTGTTATTGAAGAGCCATTCACTCAGAAAGGCGAGCAGGAACCCGAATGTGCTGTGATGTCAACAACAGCGCTGTAACCAGGCATGGTAGGTAGCACACACTAATACAGCAGCTGGGGGCTGATGCAGGAGGACTGAGTTCTAGGCTACGCTGGGAGTCATGGTTTGAAAAGCATGGACTGTGGAGACAGGAGTAGGTGCAGTCTTATTGGAGGAGGTGGATCACTGGGACAGGCTTTGAGGTCTCAAAAGCCCACGCCAGGCCCAGCCTCTAGCTCTCTGTCTGCTGCTCGTGGATCAAATGTAAGCTCTCAGCTGCCGCTGATGCCTGTCAGCCTGCTGCCATGCTTCCCGCCATGACGACAGTGGACTCCCCCATGAAACTGTAAGCAAGCCCCCAGTCAAATGCTTCTTGTCTAGGTAGCCTTGGTAGTGGTGTCTCTTCACAGGAACGACTAGGGAACATCTTAAGACCCGCCTCAATCAAAAGAAAAGAAAAGCCAGCAGTGGTTCATACTGTGGCTTTCCAAATTTTTGTTCCTGATTGTTAATAGCATTTTTAAATTTCTTTGTTATTGGGATGGAGAGATGGCTCAGAGGAGAGATGGCTCCGAGAGATGGCTCTTCCAGAGGTGCTGAGTTCAATTCCCAGCAACCATATGGTGGCTCACAACTCTATAATGAGATTTGATGCTCTTTTCTGGAATGCAGGCATACATGTAGACAGAATATTGTATATATAATAAATAAATCTTTAAAAATTCTATGTTATCTGTTCATAATGCATTACACTCTTTTCTAGGATGGATAAGGCTCATTTATCTCCCCAGATAAAGGAGGTGAGTCTTTCTGGAACTTACCTCCCTATATGCTCTTAGTCGATCAAGTGTTTTTTGACGTTCATGGTTTATCCATTCTTTTTTCTTTTGTTCTTCTTCTTTTATTTTGTCTCTTTTCTATACATAAATAAACACATCCTTGTAAAGGCTCAGAATTCGTCATGTATGTATAATTCGTCATGTATGTATTCATGGAGAAAGGAGGCCCACCCTCATCTGGCCCAGCTGTGTAGTTTCCACAGGCTAGCCCATCGGTTTCAGGTACTCACCATCTGAATACTGTGGTGCTGGTGAAAATGTCTCACGCTCTCTTTAGCCTGCTGCAGTCTGAGCTGATGATTTTCTCGGCAGTGATCCTGGTGGGATAATACAAGTCACACACATGGTTTTTAGTAAAACATGAGATGCAGTAACGTTGGAAGCATTGCATTTTTTACTAACATGTAAGGTGTTCAGTTTCCACTGAGGGTCAATGATAGGTCCTCCTCTACAGTCGTGTGACAAGGACTGCCACAGGTGGCATCTCTTCCCAGCAGAGTGCTTTGAGATTTGAAGTGTCTCAACCATCTGCTTCATTACA